TATATATATATGTGATTTTCAAAATAGGTTCTGGTGAACAAACGCAGGTTCTCATACTTCACTGGTGGATACTTTATCAGCTGAGCTGTCTCCCCAGCCCATTTATCTATTTATTATTATTTTTAACTTTTAAGTGATCATCATTTTTGTCTCATGTTATTATAATATTTTTGAATAAAGTATGCTTTTGGTTCTCTGTCCCCTCATTTCTCCTACTTCCCTATAGTTTACAGCTGTTTCTGTATAGGAAAAAAGCCTACAATTTTTTACCTTGGATTTTTAGGGCACACTCACCTTGTAAGGGTCCCTCTCCCAGCATTGTTTGTTCCACTTTCACTTCTCTTTTATGTCCTTTTCTCCACCCCACCCCATCCTTCCTCATCCCCTATTTTTCACCCTCTGGTTTCATTTATAGTTTATTAGGTTTTATCCACATTTGCACCTATTTGTTTGTGTGTTCATGTGCCTGTGTGTGTGTGTGAGTGTGAGTGTGTGTGTGTGTGTGTGTGTGTGTGTGTGTGTGTGTGTGTGTGTAGAAGACCACACACATTGTTGTTGTTATTGTCCGTCCTTCCTTCCTTCCTTCCTTCCTTCCTTCCTTCCTTCCTTCCTTTCTTTCTTTCTTTCTTTCTTTCTTTCTTTCTTTCTTCCTTTCTGGGTTTAGGTCACTTCACTTAATATTATACATCCTAGATGCAAATTTTCCTCCAAATTTGTACTTTCCCTTTCTTCAATGTCTGAATACAATTCCATTGTGTATAGGGACCCAATTTCAGTATCCATCCACCTGTTAATGGGCACCACAGCTGGCTCCATTTTCTTGCTCTCATGAAGAGAGAAGCTGTGAAATTTTATCCATTCTTACGTCCAATAAATGTCTGTTGTGTGTATATAATTCTGTATGCCAGACCCTGTTCTAAGAGTTGTGCTGCAACCATGAAAATGATAGACAAAGTCATCTGACCTTATAAAGTCTAATGAGAAGAAATGGACAACAGACCATACATAAGGTCTGTTGAGATAATATGCCTTCCCAAGGAGACAGTGGCTGATCACCACAGCTGATTAAAAAACAAAACAAAACAATAGAACCTGCCCAGTTCTTTAAGGCTAAGTGTAACATATTATTAACTCTGCTACTCATTCTGGGGTTTTATGTGTATTGTGCATTTTGCTATTGACATAGGAAAGAAGGTGGAGAGACATATCTTAATCCTTCTCTTCTTTCTCCCTCTCTAGGCTGGTGACAGTTCATGTTTGCTTCATAAATGAAGCAGCTTTAAACCAATTCCTATTCTGTCTCAAGTGACAGCCCTCATCTTTACCTGTTCTTGCTACCCATGACCTTGTATGGATGATTCAGAAGTTGTAGCAGAGTGTTCAGCTGGGCAACTGGCACTGCATTTATCATCTACAAAGAAGAATTCACAAGCAGCAGGACTCTGGAGGTTTTGCAAATGATGATGGGGAAGAGAACACGTGTCTTGTCCACTCTCGACATTTGCAAGGCTTGGGAAATGTCTAAGTGCTGACACCCACACAGCTATGTTCTTCAGTTACAACCTGCACTCTCTAGTTAATTCTGGTCTCTGCAAGTAGATCTCAGCCTGGATAGTGGGGTGGGGGGATTTTTTCTTTTTACACAAAGGGATGTAAAGAGCAGTTTTAAAAACAATAACTCCATAGCATACAGCCACTGTATGGAGTTGAAAGCCACGGGGATCTTTTTTTTTCTTTTGATCAGGCAGATCTGCTCTGTAGTTAATGGTTAATAAGAGGAGCCTAAGCTTCGGCTCATCCTGACATAAACCACGTGCACCATATCCCACCAGGAAAATGGACATAGTTGGCTGGTTCTAGCCATGCAGCAGAACCAGTGCTGAACTGAAGTATGATGCCATGGTATACAGAAAACTCTCCAGTGCAGTCATTGCAGCAGACACTGTCAACATGGACCAGTGGAAGAACATGCCAAGAAAGATATCTGGCCCCTAGTGAAGCCGGTCCTTTCCCTTGACCATCACTCTAGAGTGTGTAAATCATGTTTGCAAAAATATAATGTGACATGTTTATGTTTTGAAACTATTACAGAGCTATGAAAACAGTCTTGGGAGGAAATGCTGAATGTGTAAGGGCCCCACTCTTTAAAAATTTCATGGGAGAGAATAAAAATCAATGATGGTGTGTAGTACCTAAGGTTAGGAATGTACACTTTATGCTAATATGGGTGGTGCAAACTAAGTAACTCAGATTGTACAAGAATTGGAGGAATCAGAAAAACATTAGTTATTTACAGTGTAACCATTATCTCTTTAAAGTAGCCATTTATTTAAAATCAGACACTCTATATTCATTAAGGTTTATGAAATGAAATAAAAAGAGAGCTTTATGTAGCTATGCATGTCAGTTTGCTATTTAAAATGTGTGACAGCATTTCTCATATTAGACAGAAATTGGCAGTAATTCCACAATGAACCTTGTGCTTTGAAAAATCAGAACTTACAAGATGTGTTGTGGATTCCCCTGATCCTTTTCTTTTCTTTCAGTCATGAAAACAATTGGTTAAAATCAAAGAATGACTTTTCTTCTGATTTTATTTTGGTGAAGGTTCTTTTCACCTACCATAGACATATGCAAAATTTAAAGCTTTTTATTCTAGCTTAATCCTTGTAATAATTTTATTTGCCCTGTGCTAAAACCTTAAGACAACCATTTTCAGTGTAATGATGCAAACATGCATGGATACTGCTAACTTCCATTCTGTCCTGAAAGTGCATGAAAACGTCTAGCTTACATTCCAAGCTAGTCCAAACACAACTCCAGTACATGGCCGCTGCTCTTCTTTATACCAAAGAGTTCAGATGGTTTCTATAGTTCCTTATCTAAAGCTCCAAGGTTTCTCCAATGCTATCATTTCTGCAAGATGAAGCTAAGCGCATTGAGACACTGCATTTACTTACTTGCTCAAGCCCTCAGATATCCCAGGATGCAACCTGTTAGTAATAAACTAGAAATGAGATTAGTTAGTGAAAGGGCCTATTTTGTTGTTTGGCATTGATTGTTTTGAGAATAATAATAGGTGTAGGGTAGCACAAATCATAGGTGTATGTAGAGAGGCTGCTGTTATTTCTCAGTTTTGTGGCTTGATTTATTTCTCTGCCGTTTCATTTTGCTCAAGCTTATGACAATGCTGTTTGCCGAGCTTGAGAGGACAAAAAATATACATAGGTTCTTAAAGCTATCAGTTGGATTTTAACATGCAAAAACATGGTCTTAATCAATAGTGCTGAATAAATAAATTTAACAGGTTATAAAGTCTGATATGGTATAATGTGGAAGATATGTTCTGCCTATTAAGTATGTTGGTTCATTGAGATTTATGTGGATTGCCAATTTTTTAAAAAATACTAAAGTTCAATAAAATGCATGAACAATAGGAAAATGCTGGACATTATTTTGAATGCTAGCTGCTTGGACATTAACTATGGCATATCTGCTTTCACATATAAAAATATGTATCTTTGCATATTTTATTCCGTGTATGTTCTGAATATTTTTCTTAAATTATAAAAACCCAACCAAGAAGATAAAGTGTAAAATCACCTCTTAAATTGGCATTTTCTGAGAGTTCTCTTTTGTAATGTTTAAAATTTGCTTTTTAATGAAAATTAAGAAATCTGCAGATTGTGAACTGTATTGAAAGTTTTGTACCTCCTCAGGAGAAATCAAGCCTTTAACAATATTATGTGTGTGATCAGTGGATCATGCTAGAGCAGTCCTGGGTTATGTATTGTTATCTTACATGCTTAACACACTGCCACATTGTAATTAATCAGAGAAAAAAGAATTTTTCCATACAATTATTGAAAAAGAACTGCATTACAAAAAAGTATTGAGAAAAAGTGAAAACATGTAAAAGTATGTATCCACAGTGAAGTGTGTGCTTTAATTAAGAAATGAACACATTTCAGTAAGCTTTCATGTGCTTTGAAAAAACAGTGTGGCATAGTTTGGTTCTTTAACTCAATCAAAGTAATAAATGAACAGAAAAATCCATCCTGGAATCGTGATGATTTCTACTGTAGTTTTTGATTTCATGATTTAATTCTAATATGGAATTTTAGCTATCCTATACACATTCTTGAAGAAATATATTTTTCAAATTAGGCAGTTAGGTTTAGTTGAGTGACTAGTGAGAAAGACTGTCAGGGGGCTCTACTTGAACACTTGATATAAGTCACCTCCTTCTTTGGATCTTAGTTTTTTATTCGTGTGTGGGTATGCTCTGAGGTCATTCTTCAGGAGTGAGCCCTTATGTCACACGATTAACAAAACAGAGAAAACAGCAGAAACAATTCTACAAAAAAACCCAGCTCTGGGCTTCTGCATAAGCATTTGGACCGGTAGAAGTCCTTTCTGTTTTAGTTTCTAATGTAAATAGGGTCCACTAGTAAAAGTGAAATTCAGTCTTAAGTAGGGTGAATTGGATAACCATTTACACATGAGATGGCTTTTATCTTTGCTTAAATGAATGTTTGGGATCACTTCTGAGGAATGAAAACCAGTAGTGAATTTTCATCAGGAAGAGATACAAGATGTGTGTAACATTTGGAAATGTGTCTGAGTATGAATGTAAATGTTCGCATTTTGTTGAAAGCTAAGAACAAAAAAAATGTAGGGTGCTACTAAAGATCTTGGATGACAAGAGATATTTTTGAGCCAATCTGTAAAATGATAATTCATAAGTTACATTTAAAATTGGAAAAGTAGGACAAGAATTTTAAAGTAAGTTGGTTTATCTTTGGAATAATATTGTGAAATTGGCTTTAAACGTCACCATTCAGATCAAAAATTATTTATGGGATCTGATTACACAATTTCTATTACTGCCTTCCACTAACCAGTCTTAAAATGCTTTTGTCAGAATAAAATTAGCGGTACCTCTTTCATACCAGGTGTGGGTTTAGGAGTGATCCATACTAAGGTGGATATTTATGATCCTGGAATGTTTGCTAAGTATTGTAAATGCACAACTGCCATCTCCAAATATTTTCTTATATACTGTTTTTAGAAAAAGAAAGTTGTTTAAAGAAAAAAAAAACCATGGTATTTTCATTTACTCAATTTCTAGGGTATAAGACTTCACTAAATAAAACTTTCCAATCAAAATTCCTATAGTCTTATTCTCCAGTAGTCTAGGGATTGGTTTGTGATTATTGTGTCCACCTGCCACTGTTTTTTTTTTTTAAGTCAATAGACTTGAGAAGTATTCAGACATTTAGATGGCTTCACAGATATATTGCTAGTTCAGTCATAGATTGGAGTTTGCATATTGTAATGTAAATGTATGTCAACACTATTCTAAATAGTTTATGACTGAAGTTTAATTAAATAAAAGTTGTAAAATGTGATGTGTATGTGTATATACTGTATGTGTACTTTTTAAAATAGGTATATGTCCTGACCCTTTTTATACAAGGTTTGAATTTGAAATTACATTATATAAACATATACTTTATTGTTCTAAATAAAGAATTTTATGCACCCTCATAAATCTGCCCTCTCATTTGATATCTTCAGGTTATTAAATATTAATAATATGGATTAGCATTTATTAAGTCAAAAATCAATTTATATGTAGAACCTTGTCAAGTCAGCATTCTGTAGAAATATAAATGCAAATAGATAAGAAATTTTCATCACAAATAGGCAAAGATAATCAAGGGTTGCTTTCAAGAATTAAGTGGGGAAGAGAAATGATGTGTGCAAAGTCACACTGAAGTAGCTACCTACATACTAAACTGGAGTCCAGTTAACCTGTTTATGGTACACATAAGAAATGGATAAAGCAGGCAGAGTTTTTTAAACAAGGATTAGACATTCTCATACTTGAAAGCAAAGAAGTGTAAAAAATCTCTTAGCTTCTTCTACTTAATCAAACAAGCATACCCTGAGCGTATATTATATAAAAGAGACACACAGAGAGATGAGACCTTTGGATGGTACAGCAGGTAATGAAGACACAGCCCTAGTGTCCACATTCATGTGTGTTTTTCAGAAAATCATTGGCCAATTAAACTCACTATGATGTCTGTGGTTTAGGCAGTATATAAACATCTTACTCAATCTCTGGCTAGCACTGGCTGGAGACCATGCAATGATTAATCTCTGTGTCAATTTGACTGTACATAGTTGTCTAGAAAAAATTATACTGGGTTTATCTGCAAGGACCTTTCAAGACAGTTTAAACTGACAGTGGAAGACCCACCTTGAATATGATGTGAGCTGCACCATCCCATATGCTGGTGCCCCAGACTAAACAGAAGTTGGATGGGACCCTGGCTTTTATGTCTGACTGAGGACACTTCACATTCATGCTGTCATTCCTTCATCATCATGGCTGCATTCCTGAAGAGCCAAGACAACCCTTCCATAAATTGTTTTTATATGTCACAGCCACAAAAGTTACTAATGCAAAATAGTGGCACTAAAAGGAAGTCACTGTAATGTTTTCTCACAGGATTTATGAGGACTGTTGAAGAATTTGGAGATATGGGTGGGCTACAGAAGCCTGAGCTTGTTACAAGGTGGGTTTGGAGGCCAGTCTGATGGGAGTTTGTAATACCAGAGGCTGAGAGAAGTGCAGACAGTGAAAGCCTGGTTTATGGGATTTCAAAGGGGAACTGGGCTAGGCCATCTCTGTTACATCCTGACAAGGAATCTGCTAGATTTCTGCTAGTGTCCTGAGAATATGCATGAGGCTGAATTCAAGAGTAATGGACGAAGTCATTTAGCAGAGGGAGTTCTAAGACAATATAACTTCATGAGGGGTTCAGTGGTGGTGCATGCCTTTAATCCCAGGACTCAGGAGGCAGAAGTAGGTGGATCTTTGTGTTCAGGGCCAGCATGGTCTACAGAGTGAGTTCCAGGACACCCAGGGTTACACAGAGAAACCTTGTCTCAAAAAACCAAAAACACTGGCGTAACCTCCAGGCTGTGATATTGTGACATAGTAGTTACACGTCTCCCATTTCCTTTCTACTAATATCAATCTAAATGACTGAAACAGTCATACTATTCTCATGCTAAAATACAAACGCCAGTATGACTCACCAATCTTTTATCTATCACAGAATTTTTGAAGGAGTTGACATACTTGATATGGGATGTCCTTCTATATGCTGTGAATATGTGCTGCTTTTATTGGTTGATGAATAAAGCTATTTTGACCAATGGCCAGGAAGAATGGAGCCAGGTGGGAAATCCAAACAGATACAGAGAGAAAGTAGGTGAAGTCAGGGAAGCAAGGTGTGAGGTATCAAGCCACGAGCCTCATGGTAAAATATAGAATATTAGAAATGGGTTAACTTATAGGTGGAGCTAGCCGGGAAGAATCTTGAGCCATCAGCCAAACAATTATAATTAATATTAAGCCTTAGAATTATTTATTTAATAAGCAGCTGAAGTGACTGGCAGTCAGGAAAGAAACTAGACCAATGGGACCAAGCAAGACAGAGAAAAAGTTCTAACTACACATGCTAATTGTTTTCTAAGGCATAGATAATGTGAGAGGTAAGCCTACAAATTCTTATACCATCACATTTCTCAAATTTAGTAAAAGTACTTATGCAACTGAAACAAACTTTGGCTAAGTAGGTATCATTTATCACACTGGTAAAAATTATTAAGGCCTTTTGTTATGGAAAATTTGAAATGCAGCATATAAAAATAGACATGAGAACATATTATACTTCTAGGTGACCATAGCAATGGTCCAACCCTAAAACTTCTTATTTTTACCAAATCCTCTATTAGTACCTTATCTTTTCTCCTTTCATAATATTGTCAGGTGAATGCCAAAAAAATTCTTATAGAGAAGCTGGCAAAAACAAGTCACTGCTGAAAAGCACTTTGCTGCTCTTGAAGAGGACATGGATGTGGTTCCTCGCACCCGTATCAGGTAGCTAATGATTGCCTGTAACTCCAGCTTCAGGGGACATCATGCTAGCATCTGGCCTTCATTTGTACCTGCACACATATGAGCCCATACTTCCACTATACAAGCTCATGCACACACACACACATACATACAATACACACACACACACACACACACACACACACACACACACACTCACATATAAATGCAAATAAAAATGTAAACTGTTTTATATAATATAGTGTAAGAGCTATGTGAAGAGTCTTTATACTGAATTGTTTAGGAAATGTTGAAAAGAAAAAGAAAACAATGTGTGTTCAGTACACATAGAATAGTTTATCTAACATTTTATATGACTGGTTGAATCCACTGATCTGGATCCCACTGATAATAAAGTCTTACTTTATTCATATTTTTAGCTCTTTCACATTTTACAATGAATCACTACTACCTTAAACTAAGGAATAAAGTACAGCTCAAAGTCTAAACCTAGCCCTACTAGCCCTAACCCTACAATCATCTCTCAACAGGACAATTGGCTGTGCCCAGGAGTATCAATTCTAACTTTTCTTGCTGCCCTAGAATGGTTTTTTTTTTTTAAATGTAACACACAAATGTAATGTTGGTCTGTACTTTGACTGTTACACTTAGAAGAATGTGCATTAGCCTAGAAAAATCTTGCACTATACATCAACAGCCAGGAAATCACAGGTATGCATTAAGGTTGTGTGTCTTTTGACATTTCAGTCCATGCTTAATCCAATGCATGATACATTCCAAAATTTCCCTTCATCATGTCTGAATTAAATGTGGCCCCTTATCAAGACTCCTCTGCCTCTTCAGTCCTCTCCGTCAATGGCTATGCTCCCCCACAGTTGCCACACAATTGAAGGTGAGTTCTCCACTCCTCATTGCATCATCTGGGGCAACTTTCTGGGTCCCTAAATTGACTCATCTATGGCCAGAGTACGTTTAATGTCATTCATTGTTCCTTTCACATGCTAACAGATTTTCAGATAGTTCCCTGGTGCTTTCAATGCCTGGATCACTATCACTTGATTGTTTGTACTATTGTCTTAGTTTCTGGTTTTTTTTTTTCTGTCATACTAAATAGTCTATAATGTCAGAATCTCTCGTTTCACATATACTTTATAAGTCCTGAGAGTTGATCCCGTCATCTCTTCACATGGTCACACACATATTTTTGTAAATTTGCAGCCATCTCCATTTATCAGTAGCTGTTTTGATGGAGGGACTGCTTCCAGTGACAGACACTAACCACCAGTTCACTAACACGTTATGACCCAATGATGCATAGCCGGATGCTATAACGTGGTAGAAACATGTTCTATGGACCCGGTATCTGAAGTATGTTTGTGAGAGATGAGGAACTGCGTGGAGCCAGAGACACTTTGTAGAATATTTTCCTAACTGCTAATTTACCTGCTGTGTAAAATTAGAAAGGGAGACTGGTTTCATTCAAGTCTGGCTAAACAGAATTTCTCCTTGTCTGAGAGACAGTAAGGCAGTTCACTTATTCCTTGATGCTGGAGGATTGCTGCCCACACCCAACTCGAAGATGCCCAGGTCTCATAGTGTTTTCACCTATACACATCCCCATGTATTATAATAAAATAAAAATGCCACATTAATATGTATGATACTGTGTTGTTTAGAGAATAACCACAATAAAGTACAAACATCCAGTCCTGTACAGACACTTGAAAAATTATTAACAGAAGTTGACTGAATCCATGGTCATGGGACCTATAGACATGAGGGCTGATTGGATGAAGGTATACACAGAACAGACATTATTTTTCATTAAGCAATAAAATTTAACAAAATTGGAGATATATATATATATATATATATATATATATATCAATAATGGCAGTATGTTGTGCATCAATAACAGCAACAGCATTTCCAGGTTCTGCAGTCATTTAAACAAAATTGTAGAGACATCTAGCACTCTCCATTAAAAAAAAATTCTCCACTAAAAAAAATTGGCTTTTTTAAAGGGAAACTTTAATAACATTTGTATGTGTAACTCTATATCCATGTGAAGATCTGAGGTCAACATGCAGGAGTCTGCTCCCTCCTTCACCCATGTGGGTCCTGGGATCTCATTCAATAATTCTGTTGTATGTATATCACAGGGTTTTTAAAAATCCATTTATCTAATACGGGGCATCAAGAGTGATTCCAGATTTTGAACATTATTATTGAAACTGAGTGCTACTGTGCAAGCTTCTGTGTGGGCCTGAGTGTTCAAATCATTTGAATAAATGCCTAGGAATACTGTTGCCTAGTTATATTGTAAAACTATGTGTAGGTGTGGAAGAAACTGCCAAACTATTTCCCCAAGTCATGATGCCATTTTACATCCGTGGCAGCAATGAATAGGACTTCCTGCGGCTCCCCATCCTTGCCAGCAACTGTCATTGCCAGTTTTGCCTATTAATCTGG